TAAGAAAAGCTTCCAAAAATTCCAAGAAGGCGACAAAAAAATTACATAAAAGGGAGAAATAAGCGAAAAGGGCGATTGAAAAGAGGAACTAAACGATAAGAAACAAAGCGATAAAAATAGGGAACAAAAAACGATGAAAAAGGATGACAACAAAGCGGAAAAAAGGCCACCAGAAAATTATAAAAAAGACACAAAAAGCCGTAAAAAATATCTAATGAAAATAAGACAAAAAGGCGCCAAAAACGTCCAAAAAAGCTCAAAAATAGCTTCCAGAAAACGCAAAAAAGTCGACAAAAATGAGATACACGAATAACAAACAAAAATAACAAAAAAGCGGCAAGAAAGCCCACAGGAAAGAACGACGAAAAACGAGATAGAAAATATGTAGATAAAAAAGGGGACCAAAATGCTAGAAACAGCCAAAAATACTACAAGAAAAGCTTCCAAAAAAACGCCAAACACAACAAAGGGGACAAAAAATTACAAAAATTGAGAAAACAGGGGACAAAAAGGGCGACTACAAAGCAAAAATGATCAAAAAAGGGGGCATAAGAAGCCACAAGAAAAGGCCGCGAGGAAATCGACAAAAAAACATGAAAAAACAAACCGTTCAAAAAACTTCCAAAGAAACGTAAGAGGAATTAAAAAAAACGGAAAAAGGCTGCAAAAAAAGACCAAAAACGCCTAAAAGGCGACAAGAAAGGGGGCAAAAACATTTCAAAAAAGGGAGAAATAAGGGAAAAAGGCGATTGAAAAAGGGATACACAAATAACAAACAAATATGGCAAAAAAGCGACAAAAAATCCCACAGGAAAGAGGAACAAAAAAGCGAGTTAGAAAAATATGTAGATAAAAACGGGAACCAAAGTGCTTGAAACAGCCAAAAATGCTGCAAGCTTAAAAAAAGTCAAAAGGCGACAAAAAAAACAGACAAACTAGTAACAATAAAAAGTGCGAAATAGGAGAAAAGGCCTTAAAAAAGTGCCAAAAAACAACAAAAAATGCTCTAAAAAAGCTCCCAAAAAAACGCCAAAGACACAACAAAGGGGGCAACAAATTACAAGGATTGAGAAAACAGGGGACAAAAAGGGCAATAAAAAAGCAAAAATGATCAAAAAAGGGGACACAAGAAACCACAAAAAAGGGCCGCGAGAAAAACGACAAAAAAACATGAAAAAACAAACCCTTCAAAAAACTTCTCAAAAAAAACGTAAAAGAGGAATTTTAAAAAACGGAAAAAGACTGCAAAATCAAAAAAATAAAGATAAAAAAAGCGATAAAAATATATATAGAATGGAAATGGGATAAAAAAGTGCCAAAAATCGACCAAAATCGCAGAAAAGCTCGAAAAAAACGTCAAAAAGGCGACAAGAAAGGGGACAAAAAAATTACACAAAAGGGAGAAATAAGTGGGAAAGGCGATTGAAAAAGGGACCTAAACGATGACAAACAATGCGATAAAAACAGATATATAGATAAAAACGAAATAAAAAAGAAGGTCAAAAAACATTGCAAAAAAAGAAAACAAAAAAAACTATTTAAAAGGGCGACAACGAAAAAAAGGCTACAAAAATCGTTAAAAACGCTACAAAAAGCGGTAAAAATATATATTGAAAATCGGACAAGAAGGCTTCAAAAAACGACCAAAAAAGCTCTGAAATTGAAATTGAAATTGAAACTGAAATTGAGTTTATTGGTGCATAATACATAATACATACATGTTTTGTTTTAGAAATAACTCCCTAAAAAACACGCAAAAAAGCCAAACAGGAATCCAAAAAGGGCGATAAAAAAAAAAACGAAAAAAGAGGACAAAGAAGAGAAAAATTGGTCGAAAGTTGTTTTCCTTTACACAATTTTGTGATGACTTCATAAACATTTTTGCAAGGACACGTGTATCAACTGGAATAACAGTATTGTATTCCCAAAATTTTCTGAGAAAATGGAGTGAGCCGTTCCTGATTTAATCAATCAAATAAACTGACTCATTCGTTAATTTTTTTTTTTTAAATATGAACGCAATTATAAATCACAAGTAAAAACTCATCATATAACATTTTGGGTAGAATTTATTCGGCAAAATAAACAGATATATTTTGATTAACAATCTACCATACTTACAATAGCTTTAAAACGTCTGCAAGATTTCAAAATATTCAGTTCTGCAATGCTTGATTTAATCCAGAAAATAAATTGATTCAGTGATTAATTTTTTTGAGACACCCTGTATAAGCAAATCTAAAAAACATCAATACAATGATAAATTATACTACCTGCTAAAATAAAGGCGATTCTGACCCTCTAAGAAAAGAGAGGGCGGGTGGGTGGGGCTAGTACCTGTTAAGACTGATTTTGGCAAATCACATATTCTCTAAGAAAAGAGAGGGTGGGTGGGCGGGGCTAGTACTTGCTTAGATACGATTGACTTAAGGCAAATAATCTACTCTCTAAGAAAATAGTGGGCGAACGGGTGGGGCTAGTACTTGCTACCATAAGACTAAGCAATACTAAGAGTCACTAAAATGAAGAGGAGGTGGGTGGGTGGGCCTACTGCTTGTTTATAAAAGACTGTCTAGGAAAAAGTTAAACTTAGCCCCGCCCACCCACCCGTTCTCACATAGTTTTTCTTCTGAAATAAGAAATAAATCTTATAACAAATAGTAAAACAAAAAGGTTACGATTGGAGCTTTTTTACAGCCTAGTTTATATCAGTTACTTACCACTCCCACTCTGTAGAAGAACATATACTAAACCCCGCCCACCCACCCGCCTCCATTTCGGCGATTAATTTTATATAAAAAATGTACTACCTTACTTGGAAAGAAGACAAAAATGAAACTTAAAACATGTATAAAATAGTAAATTTTGTAAAAAAATATGAATTTGCAATTAAACTCCGCCCCTCTAACTGACAACGAATAAAAAATTAATCAAAATCGAGATAGGGGCGGGTGGGTGGGGCTTAATTATTGGCCTGTTTTTCTGAATATATACCTATTTTCAACAACACCAAATACCATTTGATATTTTAAGTATTTTATTATTGAAAGAAGACTGTATGTCTAAGAAAATCGAAGGACAAATCCCACCCACCCGCCCCATCTCGATTGTGATTAATCTTTTTATTCGTCCTGAGGCGGAGAGCGAAGATAAAACAATCACCCCTTTTTTTGGAAAGAAAGTTTAAGGCGTCCAAATTGGAAAATCGGTTCCACTTTCAAAATTTGGAAAATCGTTTCTTATGTATTTTTAAAATTATACTTTAAGGTACATTTTGATCAAGAAGATTTCGTCTACAATTTAAAGTTAAAAGAGAACGCTGTACCTAAATATTTTAAAGCTCAAGATTTCAAATATAAAGCTCCATTTATAATTATCAATCCAGAAAATACAATTACTGAAAAAATATCAAGATTCAAAATTCAGTATCCACTGATAAACAATTTACAAATCGAGTGGTTAGGAAAGTCATACCAAAATTTATTGCTGCGGAAAGAAGACGAAATTTATTGTTTAAAAGAAAAAAATAACAGTTTAAAATTAAATAACTTAAAAATTAATAACAAACTGTCGAAAATGTTGGTTGGTTTAGATTATTCACGTTTCTATTTTATATTTTCCTTATTTTTTGCCTATAAAAGAAGCTTCGGGAGCCTCCAGTTCTGCAGTTCCAAGTTAAACTGTAAAGTTACGGGATGTCTGTGGCAAAAAATTAAGGCGGATTCACAAACCACAAGTACAGGAGAGTATGTTACTTTATGAAACTTAAACAGTTCAGGTAAATTTGCGATTTATGTATATGAAACTGTACAGAGTTGCTTTTCTAAACATCAAATTAGCGAAAGATTTAGTAAAATTGTCACCATCTAAAATTCCACCACTTTTGCCATTCCGCGGAAAAATCCACCCTCTCCGTCCACGTTTGTTTCACTATTCTACGTGTTCAGCTTGTTTTATTAAAAAGCCTCGTCGAGCCATAGCCCGAGCAAATACATATAAAATTTTACGTCCGAGACAATGTTCCTTTATTATGCGTCTCCACTCACCCTCCGCGTTCTTTTTTCGTGATAAATTTAATAATGTTTTGACGTGCACACACCACCGACACATTAGACACATAAAGCAAATCAAAGAAAGTGTCTTTCAAGTAATACAATTTATTCGAAAGCTCCTTAAATGACACCTCTCGAGCGCAAGAAAAAGGAAAAACATATTTAAAGTATATCCTCCAGGTAGGAAGTGCTCGGGAGGGATTTTTTTCCAATTGCTTTGGACCGAATTTATGCATTAAAGGAAACGCGCCGATTAAGGTGTAACCAAGATTGCGGGGAGTATTTTTCACGTTTTGTATATCTTGAAAATTGAGTCTAAAGAAAGTGGAGGTTTGTGGGTGGAACATGACGTTTTGGTTCGCTGATCAAATGTTTGCTTTTAATAATCCTGACATGTCTTTTATGGGGGGTGGAAAGACGCGGTTTGAAAGGGTGTCTGTGTTTTTTTAACCATGAACATGATGTGCGCGGTTTACGTACCACTTAATAAATATAACATAGACAAATTATTAATAAAACATTTATTGAATTTCGGCGTAGCAACAGCCTTAAGAACAAATTTCGGGGCAAAACGCATTAAGTTATGATCGTTATTTTTGATTTTTGAGTTGTGACAAGATAAAAAAATTCCAGTTTTCTTGTGCGTCATTTTACAGTCTTATTTGAAAATGTGGCAACCTGATGAAGGTATCTACAACGAAACGCGTCGCCGTGTTTTACAAATAACTGATTTTGGAACCAATTTCGCTTTCCCCTACGCTTTCGGCATTATATATAGTAATAAGCGACGATAAACATTATCAGGGGATATTTTTACACTTCGAACATAATTATTTCGATTATAAGCCATGATAATAATTAATAATGATAATTAACGTGTCATTCGGTCCCACCCCAAATTTTAAAACTCTGCACCCCACTAATCCCCCAACAAATAAAATAATTTACCAATTCGCCGTTACGAGAACTTGCCCAAAATTCGGTCACACCGCCACCTCGACCATCTCTTCCCAGAATCGCCGTCCCTGCGTGTTTCAGTGGCGCTCTCCCATTCAACCCTTCCAAAACAAAACGGAACAGAAAAAAAAAGCAACCCTTTCAGCCAGGAATGGCACCGACGACGTCTGTGGTATCTAAGGGACGCAGCGTCCTGCTGGCGTGACGCGTCGCGACGAACTGAAGGCGCGAGCACGAGCGTCGCGATGCCCACGCAGAGGCGGCGACAGAGATGCTGGGGAGAGAAGGAAAGATGCAATTATCGGTTCCGGTTGTGCGTTATAATTTACGACATAATCGGACGATTTGCATTTTTATGTCTGGGTTGGGAGAGTGGAGGATGTGTGAGGGTTTTCGGCGGGAGGATGGGTGATTAATGGGAGGCATTGCGTCGAAAAGAGACACTCCATTTGTCTCGTATTGCTGGGGTCAGCTTTTTCGAAAGGGAGGCGATTTGCATGCTTAATTTGACATTTTTGGCACTTTTGTTGTGATCAGAGTGGGATATGGTTGGAAGCTGGCGAAATGTGTGCAAGTCCGGCGGGACATGAATTCTAAATATGCTGAATTTTAAAGAATGAGGGGTGAAGGCAAGCTCGTGGCGGTTTCCAGACTTTTGGTATTTATCTTGAGTGGTATTCATAGATACAGACGTCCTATATTCGTCCAGCTTTTGAAGGAACGGGAATTCTATAGAGAGTGAAAGGGCAAAATGTCGAATCTCAGAGAAATTATCTATCAGGGACCCTTGGAAACGTTTCATGTAATGAAGACAGGTAATTTCGAGGAGATCCGCATTTTCCTTCATTCGGTCTATTCATTTATTTTTTCACTTAAAGGAAATTTAATAAGTTTGTAAAAAATACGTGACGCAATCTTTCAATAACATTAGAATGAATAAAATTGCAAAAAGCGCAACAATTAAATGATGTATTTTTCGTTTTAATCTGCAACATCTTCTCTTACGAAATTTTCTAAATTAGATTTTTATCAAGTGTTGAGTTACGTAAATTGGAATCTCGTTGATTCAGATCTAGATATGAATAATAAGTTTTGGAAGCTTTTAAACACTCTACTCCATTTCTTTAATTTATGTTTTCCGTTACAAAAAATGGCTTTTAAATATAATAATTCTAAAAGCCTTCGGAAGAGAAAATTGAGTACTCATCAATTAGATGAAATGCGAGAATGCTTGGGTTTTCTAAAGGACATTTATGAAATCCGCAGTCTCCACAGTTAAGATGATGTATAAGGATTATAAAGGACGTTGTAATACCGCAATAAAATTCCAGAATTAGAAATGTCATAAATTCAAGTAAAAAATTTATTGTAGCTCCAGTAGTATGAGCAGTAGCACCATCCTGTTGAAAGAAAGCATAACTAACTGAAAATTAGTTAAATTTCATATCGGTACAATTACGAGTATGTTTCCTGAAAACATCATTTACCATTTTGTTAAAATTTAAGTTTTTAATAAAATGTAAAACACCAAGTACCTCGAAGATTATTTCAACTTCTGCAAAAATAAAACACTAGGGGTCCTAAGATTCTTTAAACTTCTTGGAAAATAAAACACTAGATGCCCTAGAGATACTTTCAACTTCTTCAAAAAATAAAACAATACGAACCACCAAGATTCTTTTATTTTTTAAAATATGAAACATCAGGTACCTCGAAGATTATTTCAACTTCTTCAAAAACTAAAACATTAGGAATAATCCTCAAGATAATTTCAGCTTCTTCAAAAAATAAAACACCAGCGACCCCCAAGATTCTTTCTTCAAAATTAAAACACCAGGTACTTAAAAAGACTATTTCAAAGTCTGCAAAAATAAAACACTCGGAACTTCAAAGAACTTTTCAATTACTTAAAAAAGTAAAACACTAGAAATCCCCGAGGTTTTTTTTGTTTCTTCAAAAAGTAAAACACCAGGAGCCTCCTAGATTCCTTCTTCAAAAATAAAACACTAAGGGATCTAAGATTCCTTAAATATTTTGAAAAATAAAACATTATGTGCCTCCGAAATACTTTCAACTTCTTCAAAAAGTGAAATATAAAACACCAAGTACTTGGAAGATTATTTCAACTTTTTCAAAAAATAAAACACTAGGAATTCACGAGGTTTTTTTGTTTCTTTTGTTTGTTGCGACAAGTAAAACATTAGGAACCTCAAGATTCTTTCTTCAAAAATAAAACACTAGGGGTCCTAAGATTCCTTAACTTCTCAAAAAATAAAACACCAGGTGCCCCTGAGATAGTTTCAACCTCTTCGAAAAATAAAACAATACAAACGCCCAAGATTCCTTTAATTTCTTTAAAATATAAAACACCAACTACCTCGAAGATTCCTTCAACTTCTTCAAAAACTAAAACGCTAGGGACCCCCAGGTTTTTTCAACTTCTCCAAAAAAATAAAACACTCGGAATCCCAGAGGTTCTTTTTATTTCGTCAAAAAGTAAAACACGAGAAACCCCCAAGATTCTTTCTTGAAAAATAAAACACTAGGTGCTATCTAGATATTTCAACTTCTTCAAAAAATAAAACAATACGAACACTCAAGATTTCTTTAATTTCTAATATAATATAAAAATTAATATAAAACACCTAGTACTTCGAAGATTCCTTCAACTTCTTCAAAGACTAAAACAGGAAGGACCTCCAAGATTATTGCAACTTCTTCAAAAAATAAATCAATACAAACCACCAAGATTCCTTTAATTTCTTTAAAATATAAAACACCAAGTACCTATAAGTTCCTTCAATTTCTTCAAAAATTAAAGCACTAGGGACCCCAAGATAATTTCAACTCCTCCAAAAAATTAAACAACCGAGACCCCCGAAATTTTTTCTTGAAAACTAAAACACTACGTACCTCCAAGATTATTTCAACTTCTCCAAAATATAAAACACCAGGGACCCCAAAATTCTTTCTTCAAAAATAAAACACTAGATGTCCCTGAGATCCTTTCAATTTCTTCAAAAAACATAATAATATGAGCCCCCAAGTTTCTTTTAATTTTTTTTTTTTTTAATATAAAACACCAATTAATTTCAAGATTCTTTCAACTTCTTCAAAAACTAAAACATTAGAGACTCCCAAGATTATTTCTACTTTTCCAAAAAATAAAACACCGTTGACCCCCGACATTCGTTCTTCAAAATTAAGACACTAAGTACCTCCAAGATTTTTTCAACTTCTGCAAAAATAAAACACTAGGAACTTCCAAGATTCTTTCAACTTTTTCAAAAAATGAAACACTAGGAATCTCCGAGGTTCTTTTTGTTTCTTCAAAAATAAAGCACTAGGAGTCCTAAGGTTCCTTAAACTTCGTGAAAATAAAACAATAGGTGCACCCGAGATACTTTCAACTTCTTCAAAAAATAAAACAGTACAACTTCCAAGATTCCCTTAATTTCTCTAAAATATAAAATACCAATTACATCGAAGATTCTTTCAACTTTTGCAAAAATAAAACACTAGAAATCCAGAGATTCCTTTTGTTTCTTCAAAAAGTTAAACACCAGGAACCCAGAAGATTCTTTCTTCAAAAATAAAACACTAGGTGCCCCTGAGATCCTTTCAACTTCTTCAAAAAATATAATAATACGAGCCCCCAAATTTCCTTTAATTTTTTTTTTTAATATAAAACACCAATTAATTCCAAGATTCTTTCAACTTCTTCAAAAACTAAAACATTAAGGATTCCCAAGATTATTTCTACTTCTCCAAAAAATAAAACACCATTGACCCCGGACATCCTTTCTTCAAAATTAAGACACTAAGTACCTCCAAGATTCTTTCAACTTCTGCAAAAATAAAACACTAGGAACTTCCAAGATTCTTTCAACTTCTTCAAAAAATCAAACACTAGGAATTTCCGAGGTTCCTTTTGTTTCTTTAAAAATAGAACACTAGGGGTCCTAAGATTCCTTAAACTTCTTGAAAAATAAAACACTAGATGCTCCCGAGATACTTTCAACTTCCTCAAAAAATAAAACAGTACAACTTCCACGATTCCTTTAATTTCTCTAAAATATAAAACACCAATTACATCAAAGATTCTTTCAACTCCTTCAAAAACTAAAATACCAGGGACCTCCAAGGTCTCTTCTTCAAAATTAAAACACTAGGTATCTCCAAGACTATTTGAGCTTTTGCAAAAATAAAACACTAGGAACTTCCAAGATTATTTCAATTTCTCCAAAAAATAAAACACCCTGAATCCCAAAATTCTTTCTTCAAAACTGAAACACTAGCTACCTCCAAGAGTATTTCAACTTCTGCAACAACAAAATACTTGGAATTTCCAAAAATCCTTCAAATTCTTCAAAAAATAAAACACTAGGAATCCTCGACGTTCTTTTTTGTTTCTTCAAAAAGTAAAACACCAGGAACCTCCAAGATTTTTTCTTCAAAAATAAAGCACTGGAAATCTTTAGATGTCTTAAACCTCTTCAAAAATAAAATACTAGGTGCCCCTGAGATGCTTTCAACTTCTTCAAAAAATAAAACAAGACGGACCTCCAAAATTCCTTGAATTTCTTTAAAATATAAAACACCAAGTACCTCGAATATTCTTTCAACTTCTACAAAAGTTAGAACACAAGGAACTCCCAAAATTATTTCAACTTCTGCAAAAAATAAAACACCATTGACCACCTATATTCTTTCTTCAAAAGTAAAACACTAGGAACTCCCAAGGTTCTTTCAACTTCTTCAAAAAATAAACACTAGGAATCCTCGAGGTTATTATTATTTATTCAAAAGGTAAAACACCAAGAACCCACAAAAGTCTAAGATTCCTTAAACATCTTGAAAAATAAAACACAAGGTGCCCCCGAGATACTTTCAACTTCTTCAAAAAATAAAACAACACGAACCCCCAAGATTCCTTTAATATCTTTAAAATATAAAACACCAAGTACCTCGATAATTCTTTGAACTTCGTCATAAACTAAAACACTAGGGGCCCCCAAGATTATTTCAACTTCTGCAAAAATTAAACACCAAGAACCCCCAAGATTCTTTTTCAAAAATAAACCACTAGGAGTCTAAGATTCCTAAACGTCTTGAAAAATTAAACACAAGGTCCCCCGAGATACTTTCAACTTTTTAAAAAAATAAAACATCACGAATCACCAAGACCCCTTTAATTTCTTTAAAA